CCCCTGTCCTTTCTCTTCTCTCCTTCTCTTCTTCTTCTCTTCTCTCCTCCTCTCCCCTCCCCCCCTTCTTCCTCTTTCTTATTGTAAAAGAACCATTTTCATTATGTTTTATAAAGATTTGTTTTTGTTTTTTTTTAACCTAATCTCTGGGGTCTTCTACATGCTTGGTAGAACTAGAACTAGCTATGTCAGCATACAAACATGGAAGAACATGCCTACACATTTATCACTGTAACAGGGACAGGAAGAGGTGAAGTTTCTACATTTTTATTTAATGTATATATTGAAAATTATGTATTTGAAATTTGCGTCTTTATGCAGTTACACTTTTCCCCTTTGTTACTTTAAGATAGTTAAGATATTTTCATCATGTAATATTTATATTTATATTAAAGAAATTAAAAAGAGAATTGCCCCTAATTCTAGCAGTAATATAACAACTGACTTCATTTTACATTTTTCCTATTTGTTTCTTTTTATAATAAATGTTAAAATTTTTGTGAATGTATATTTTATATTCTGCTTCTTCCACTATATATAAGCCTTTTTTCATGAACTTTAAGTTACAGTTGATTTTCATTATTTCTGGCGGTTATAGTCTATCAAGTCACCATGATCATTCAAGGAGCAAATACTGAACCATTGAGAATCTGGTCATACCATTTTCGTCAGCTGATTAGTATATAACCTTGTTTGATGTGTCTTTCTGTTTAGAGACACCTTATTTTCATGCATACATTTAATACAGTCATCAACATGAATTCACAGTCAGCAGCACTGTAACTCAGCTGATCTAATACACACATTTTCCCCGTAAGGCATATTACACCCTCCTTGCACCTAGGAACACTAGATAGTATTGGCATCACTAGGCAGTGAAATCACCAACAAATGTCACAGAAGTGTGAAAAACACAGCATTCAATAAACTGCAAAAAGGACGCTTATTTACAGTGTGAGAGATGAGCAAGAAGGCAGAGCATTGCCTCGTTTGACCTCGGCTGGGAAGGTGCATGCGTAGTGACTCAGATCTTTTTTGCCATTCTGTACACATCCACAAATGACTCTGAAAGCACTGCAGGCATTGATTTTGGAGTTAGAAATAAATTTGGCAAATTGGCAAATACAGAATCTGTGAATAACGACAGTTGGCTATATTTTAGGTAATTTTGTATTCCATAGGCTGCTAGATCGTACTTTACCCAGCCATTCTTCCATCGTAGGTGTCAGAATGGCAACCATATTGACACTGTTATAGGTGATGCTTCAGTAAATTCTTGGGCATGGGAACCCCTTCTTTTAAAAAGGTCATTGAAGTGAACAGAAGATTAGCCTTGTCATTGTGTTTCCTAATATTTTTGGTTAAATTCCTTAGGCCTAGTGAATGTCCCTGAGGAACCCATTGAGGAGGAGGAGGAGGAGGAAGAGGAGGACCAGGACATGGATGCGGACGACAGGGTGGTGGTGGAATACCACGAGGAGCTCCCGGCCCTCAAGCAGACCCGGGAGCGCAGCACGTCCAGGCGGTCCAGCGCCAGCAGCTCGGACTCCGATGAAATGGACTATGACCTGGAATTGAAAATGATTTCCACTCCTTCACCAAAGAAAAGCATGAAGATGACCATGTATGCTGATGAAGTGGAATCTCAGTTAAAAAATATTAGGTAAAATTATTTCTTGTTTTTCTCAGTGCTAGATTTTAATTTGATTTTAAATACTAATTACTAACTTCCTTTTAATTCCTCTAGTTTTATAATCACTTTATCTGTTCTAATTTTAGTCCTTTATAGAGTTTGAATAAAAGTGTTTGATTTTTCCTCAAAATATACAAGAAGAGATCCTTGTTATAGACAATATAAAAGGTGAAAATCACCTGTATAATCTTCCTCTTCTGAGGTAAGGACTGTTAGCAACTGGGTGAAATACCCTTCCTGCTAGTTTCATGCATATACATAACATGGAGAAATTATAGATATAGTTGTACAAAAATGAAGTTATGCTGTTTATATTGTTATGCAGTATGCTTTTTCCATTTAATATATTGTAGACATCTGCTGTTTTCCAACTATATGTAGTCCATTGTTTGAAAGTATGATGGTTTATTTAACCCAGTCTCTTATTTAGGTTTCTGTTTTCTTACTATCACACCTGGACATTTAGGTTTCTGTTTTCTTACTATCACACTAATAGATAAATTCGTTGCATTCCAATTATTGCACAAAAAATATACATGTTTTAAAATGTGGTATTGTGGCCTTGGCCAGCAGGTTCAGTGGTTAGAGCAGCGGCCCTCGGATCTAAGGGTCCCTGGTCAAGGGCAAATACCTGGGTTTTGGGTTCACTGCTGGCCCTGCTTGGGGAGCATGCGGGAGGCAACTAATCAATGTGTCTCTCTCACATCAATGTTTCCCTCCCTCCCTCCCTCCCTTCCACTCTCTCTGAAAATCAATGGAGAAAATATCCTCGAGTGAGGATTTTAAAAAGTGGTACTGGGAAATTTCATTCCAGAAAGGTTTTATTCACTTATATTACCACCTGTTACCTACATACTCACCAATGTTAGTTATTATAACTTTCTAATTTTGGCTAATTTCATGGACCAAAAAAAAAAGTTATTTTAAGGTGCTTTTTTGTGAGGACTGGTGGGGATGAGGGTGAGCAGATTCCTGAGGGCGGACAGCACGTGCTCGGCTCAGGGCCGGAGCCTGGGCTGCTCTCCCCAAGTGTTCTCGGTGGTGTGTTTGGGGAAGGGGGAAAAATGCAGGCTGGTTTGTATGGCTTTGTTCACATCCTTATTTTTAGTTTCACAGAACTTTGTATTGACAAATGGTGCCAAAATAATGTGGGTTCCTGGCATGGTAGAAGATGTCTTTGACAGAGAAGTCAGCCCTTAAAGGGATTGTAGGCTCTGTTGTATCTTGACTCACAGCCTAGATGAGTGGAGGCCCGAAGCCCTTTCCAGGCCTACTTAATGTTTGTCCCTGGAGAAGGGGACCCACAGTTACGTGCTCTGTGGTGGCTTACAGAAAGCACATGCGGAAACCACCCCAGAAAACTCAGGAACCTGCTTGCCTGGCTGGTCTCTTTGCCACAGGCTGATCGTGATTTTTGTAAACAGATAATTATCAGTGAATGTTGACTGTATTGGATTGGGTTTTAATTGTTTCTTCAAAAATATATGAGATTGTTGCTTGGGTGTTGTCCCACAGTTCAAGTTGGTTAACTGTCCCCCCCACCCCCCTTTTAAAGGAATTCCATGAGGTCAGATACTGTATCCACAAGCAATATCAAAAACCGAATTGGTAACAAGTTACCACCTGAGAAATTTGCAGATGTCCGACATTTATTAGATGAAAAACGCCAGCACCCACGCCCGCGGCCATCAGGCAGCAGTACTAAGTCAGGTATTGTTGTTCAGTTGTTTCTGGGTCCAGAAAGCAGACTGGGGCAGGGGTAGGTTTTTAGATAAAACGTTGCCATTTGTGGATGGGTTTAGTTGTTCTGGTTCATTACTTCTAAATTTTGGGTTAGGCAGACATGAAAAATAATCAGATTTCTCAATTCCAGCTGTCTGTATTTTTGAACCTAATAATTATTTTACTCTGTATGTCGTTGGTATTTTTTATACACAAGGATAATAGCAATTACATTGTTGTTGTAGATCCCTGGTTGGTTTGGCTCAGTGGTTAGAGCATTGGCCCGCGGAATGAAGGGTCAGAGGTTCGATTCCAGTCAAGGGCACATACCCTGGTTGCAGGTTCGATCCCCGGCCTCAGTTGGGGCACGTGCAGGAGCTAATCAATCAATGTGTCTCTCTCACAACAGTGTTTCTCTCTCTTTGTCTCTTCCCCTCCCTTCTACTCTCCCTCTTAAAAAAAAAAAGTAGAAATAGTTAAGAATTTGAACTAGACATACATGTAGCAGGTACTTGGCCTTTGTTTTTCACCACTCTCTACATTTATTGTTATGTGTAGTAAGTTTATTGAGAACTTGTATGTTGGCCATGCCTGCTGTGTGCCACTCCTTAGGCTAGGTACTAGGTGTTCAAAGTCTTCAGAAGGGATGCAAAGTCATCCTAGAACTCTGATGGAGAAATACAAGTACACACGTTCAGATCCTTCCACCCAGAGCAGAGCGGATGAAGTGCTCTGACAGCTCTGTAGGCAGTGGCTGTGGGCGCAAGGGGGGAGGCTCCATCTACTGGCAGAATTGGGGAAGGCGCCTTAGAGCAAGTGGCTTTGGAGTGAGGCCTTGGGGAGGGACTAGGATCTCAGCGGGCTAAATGTCATTTTTTGAGAAAGTAACCTGGTCTTACATCTATTTTAGAAAGATAACTTGGGAGCAAAGTGGGGCGGGGTATAGAATTGACTAAGTAACAAGGGCCTGAAGTAGGTGAGGAACCGCGGAGACAGACGGAGCAGATGCGAATGTCACACCTTGTGAAGAAAGGACTGGGCTCTGGCTCCGGGCTGTGAGGGAAGTGAGGGGGGAGCCAGGGGCCTGGGCCTGAGGGACTAGAGCGGTGGGGGTGCTGCTCTCTGAGAATAAGCAAGATGGGTGAAAGCCCCGGCACAGTGACTTGCTAATAAACCTGGTTTGTTGTTGCTGTTACTGTTAGAAGGAACTCATGAGGACAGGCAGATTTCCGGGGGAATTAGAGGAATAACAGATTTGATTTGGGACATCTTCCCTTGCTCCTTTACTTTCACCACTCTCTACCTTTATTGTTATGTGTAGTAAGTTTATTGAGAACTTCTATGTTCAAAGATTGTGGCTTCTGCCCTCAGGCAGTATTGCTTGATAACTGACATGTTTGTAAATTATTTGGTCTGCTTGGTTCTTCGTTAAAAACAGAAAATAAGACAGCTGATTCTGCCTCAGAAATTCCTTTCTGTAGCAGTCAGCTGAGATTTTTTTCCCTGAAGATACCTATGACTAAATTTCCCTAAGGAAGCCAGACTGATGTGTGGAGCAGTGATTTTCAACTGGTGTGCCGCAAGAGTTTGTACAACATGCAGTACCAGACTCTTTAGTTCAGCACACTGATCTCTTTTCCCTTAGGTGGTCAGATGAAAAAATGACAGTGGCCAGCACATCAGTAGCCGTCCCATGTGAATGGATCAAAATTATACCCTTTTTTTTGTTACATTGGCAAAAAATCTATTTTTTGGTGTGCCACAGAATTTTAGTAATTCGTTTATGTGCCATGAGATGAAAAAGGTTGAAAATCACTGGCATAGAGAGAAGAGAAGGGTTTTAGATGCTTGAGTGTGTGGGGCCCTTTGTCCTCACTTGGGGATACCTGGACCAGGTTCGATAGAGATCTCAGGTTGACAGTACAGATAGCAAAGCATGCACGCTTGGTAAAAGTAGTACTTTTTTTTTTTTCTAGATATACGCCAGCGGTTAGGAAAAAGACCACATTCTCCAGAAAAGGCTTGTAACCCCATCGTTCGGAGAGAGCCCTTTTCTGATGTACATAGTAGGCTAGGTGTTCCCAGGCAAGACATTAAAGGCCTCTATTCTGATACTCGGGAGAAGAAATCAGGTTGGTAACACTTAAAACTGATGGGAATGGGAATTGGGTAAGAAGAGCAGGGTCAATAGGTAAAGCATACAGAAGGCAGTAAATAGCAAGTGCCAAAAATGTTTCTTTCTCTTCCATTATGATCATTATAATAATAACAAAAACAATAATAATAATGGTAACTATGGAAAATATAGAACATAGAAAAAAAGACCCACCCTTGATTCTTTCGGTTTAGCACAAAAACTTTTAGTGTCATGTATGCTATTCCAGTCTTTGTCCATATACATATCCTTTTTCGCATAGCATTTTGTCAGTCATTTTCCTACATTGTTATATTCTTTATAAATAAAACTTCATTGCCTTATAGTGTGCCTATGCTATGAAGTTCTAAACACATATTTCTCTATTATTAGATACTGATAAAGTATATTTTTAAAATTAATGGAGGGTGGGCAGAATCTCTAAAAGTTTAGTGTTGCAGGACCATCAATTTGTAGAATGTTATAGCTGGGAATGATCTGGGATGGCCCACTCCTGGCAGAATGCAGCTGTACACAGGATGGTGAGTCTCACCAGGGAAGGGCAGGTGTAGCATAAGTAGACTCTCCGGTGAGTCTCATCTGCCTAGCGTGGAGGCGCATGTTCCCTAGCTGTGAGAGTCTCCCCTTTGTTCCAGATCCCTCAGTTTGCAGACAGGGGATTGCAGCCAGGGAAATGAGATTACCTGCCCAAGGCTGTACAGTGGTCACAAGTGCCACAGACCCCACCCCACCCCTATCCCTCCCACACCACCACCAGTGTTTCCTGCTCATCAGGTGTTGGCAGTACCCCTGCCTCCTCAGTACTACCCTGCTTCTCAGCTTTGACTACCAAAACTAAAATGCCTTCTCATTCAAACAGGTAGTTTATGGACTCGCTTAGGATCTGCATCCAAGACCAAAGAAAAGAACATGAAGAAAGTGGATCATAGGGCTCCTGGCACTGAGGAAGATGACTCCGAGCTGCAAAGGGCATGGGGGGCTCTGATTAAGGAGAAAGAACAGTCTCGCCAAAAGAAGAGCCGGTTAGATAACTTACCATCTCTCCAGATTGAAGTTAGTCGGGAAAGCAGCTCTGGTTCAGAGGCAGAGTCCTGATGCCCTTGGGGCCTATGGCAGCTGCCCTAAAGCCTGACGTTCTTGCGCAGGGTGGGGTGCACAGTAGGAACCTCCCTTGCAGGAGTTGGTGCCCCTCCCTCTTTTACTCATACAGTCACCCTCAGCTCTTGCTACTTAAGCAAGACCTCCTAAGAATGTGACGTGTTTGAAGGGCATCTATCTATCTTTTGCTGCAGTTGTAGTTCTGGGCCCTCAATTTTTTTTCCTACCACCCCACAAGCTTTACCCTTTGAGAAAAAGGCAGCCCTCCAGATTTTGTAGACATTTTTAATATTTTTAACATTGTGTCTTTTAAAAGAAATGTTTTACACAGTTCATCCAAAGAGCAGAGAACTGAACTTCTCACTATTGCCTTGGCCCTGACAGCTGTTACCAGCACCCTTTTCCCAAGAAAAGTCAATTCCCAGGTGCTTATTGGACAGCCTTCGAGGGGGAAGATGAGGGAAGCTGCCAGCTCACCCTTCCAGGACCCTAGTGTGGGGGTTGAATCTCATGGACCTGACCTCAGAGGTGCACCAGTGCTGCCCAGGTAGATAAGAGACACCGCGTCGATCGATCGTGCTTCCGTTCCTCCCTGGGGATGTCTGTTAGGGACCTCTTGTTAGTGATCAGCTTGAAGTGAAGATCAAGTTCAGTGCTGCGGTATTTTTAGGAACAAAAACTGTGACTTCTGGATTTGGGTGGATTTTTTTGTGCTAGGGGTGGGGTCATGGGGTAATGTTGAACAATTTTTAAGTCTGTATTATGTTTAAAAAATATTAATGATTTAAAAGTTTAAATTTTTAATTTTTATATGTGAAAATACTTCCTGTTGGCTACAGGGGAAGCTCAAGTGGTGTCCTATGTGCTGTTAAATATATATTATATACTTTGGAAGAAGGCAAAGAGAGGAGTCTCATTATTTTTTAATGACCCTAATTGTATAGTCTGTTGTACATAGAATTCAATTTGCTTTTTGGCCACTGTAGGAAAAAAAATCCATCCATTGAGATGGGGTTCTGCTGTTTATTATCACTTTAGTACTAATACATTGACATTCTTTCTGTCTCCAAGTTCTGGCACCTGAAGATATCTTCAAAATTAGCAAATAAGATAATAGTTATAGAATTTTAGTTTATTTCTAAACTCCTTTCCAATGATTTTAACCACAAAAGTCAGTAGATTATTTTGTTCTCCTGTCTGATTTTTATTTTGAAGTATTTAATGTTTGCATTCCTCTGCAGCTTAAAAATAGTGTTTCACTTCAATTCACTTGCACTTAGAGTTAGGGATAGTAAAGCCTTGTCCCTTTTGTGATGTCACAACTCTGCACCTGCCTGGAGCATCTCAGTACCCAGTATAGCCCTGGATGGTAGAGCTTCTTACTTGTGGCTGAGCTGATTAGTGGTCACGGGAGAGTTGAATGAGTGCAGAACACTGTTGTTAATAAAATAAAGGGCTGTGGGGCTTGAGAGCTGCAACAAAGACTGTATTGTCCCTGTTTCATTGGTTAACCTATTTTCTCTCCCTTTAGAAAGATTAGAGCATATGACCATGATGCATTTCACTTCCTAATGGGATTGATTCTAGGAAAGAGATGGTTTAGGTTGCTCTGCCAGTTGAGACCTAAGGTTTCTGCGGCTTCTCAGCTACTCTTGGTCTTTGAAGCACACGTCTGAGAGCCAGGTTCTTGAGGGTTTGGGGGTTGGTTGAGTGAGAAGTATGAGGCCCTGAAAGTCAGACATCTAGGTGCCAACCCCTGGCTCTGGCTCCATGGGCCTGGGCCTTGTTTTCCCCATCTAGCAAATGAATGCGCTGGAACCAAAGCTGCTAGCTTTGTTGGTGTGTCTCAGTGGTGTTTGACTCTTTGCCACAGTTATGGCTGCAGTGAGCTGGCCAGCACTGGTTTCTGTTGCAGGTGGGGTAAGGGTCAAGGAGACAACTAAGGTTGTGCATGAGGTTGTAGACAGACTTACCCCATCCATTCCAGTCTCTGGGTGGGACAGAAGTCTTTGTGGTCAGGGTCCCAACAGACAAGGTCTCTGCAGTGTTCAGAAAACACCCTCTCTTAGACTTTCCTTTGGGTTTCCCAGCAGTACTTTAGGTCCATCTGTCCCATGGCCTTGTAGCCCTCACCAGTCTCTGGTAGAGACCAGGGAAGACTTTCTGGAAGGGTGTGTAGCCAAAACTTGGTCTTTGATCTAACCAAGAAAAGTGCCCACTTTAGCAGCTGGAAATTCTAACAAACACGCAGAACCCAGAAAAGGATCTCTAAAGATTTTAAGTTTATTTCTGAAAAGCACTGGCCTTAGCCTCTCTTACTCTCCAGCCTGCACTCAGGCACTCAGATATTGCAATATCATAGGTGTGCCCTGAATGCCTAGGCCCTTTCTTTGGAGTTGGGACAGTCCCCTGACAGGCAGCTCAGTGGGCTTTCATGCTGGGCACTCTTCATATATATGGGCAGCAGGGCTATGCATTTTCTGCATTTCTCTTAGTCTTTACACGTACAAAATTTTAAATACATTTTTGCTGCTTGATAATAATTAGATACCTCATTTCTGTTTCCTACTCTACCTCTTGGGAGAGGTGCCAGCTACCCAGGGGAACTTGTGAAGCCTCCACAAGATGTAAACTCTCCTCACCTGGCCTCCTCTAGTCTAGTCCCATGAATCCCTCTCCTTAGTTCAACCACTGTCTCCCACTCCACCCCTGTAGCCGCCTCTTTGCTGTCTCTGCCTCCTCTCCCTCTCCATTCTGCACCATAGCCAGGATGAACTCTTGTTGTTAGCAGTTTATTGAGATATAATTTAGATAGCCTACAATTCACCCATTTAAAGTATACACTTCAATGGGGCTTTTAGTGTATTCACAGAAAAATGCAACCATCACCATAGTCAATTTTAGAGCATTGCATCACCTGTGCCCAGCAGCAGTCACTCCTTGTTCCCTCTTCTCCCCTGGCAACCACTATTTCTGTTTTTGTGGATTTGCCTGTTCTGCACATTTCATATAAATGGAATCATACACTTTGTGTGATTTGTGACTGGCTTCTTTCACTAAGCATATTTTTAAGGTTCATCCATGTCGTAGCATATATCAGTACTTCATTTCTTTCTGTCGCTGCGTAATAGTCCCCTGTGTGGCTGTACCACGTTTTATGTATCTGTTCCCCTGTTCATGGACATTTGGGTGGTTTCTACTTTTGACTATTCTGGATAGTGCTTCTGTGAACACTTAAGTACAAGTCTTTACATGGACAGATGTTATCATTACTCTTGGGTTATACCTGGGAGTGGAGTCGCTGGGTCAGATTGTAACTATTCTCAACCGTTGGAAGAGCTGCCAGACTGCTTTCCCAAGTGGTTGTGTCATTTTTTCATTTCCCCCAGCAATGTAGGAGGGCTCTAGTGTTTCTACCTCCTTGTCAACAACTTACTTTCTGATGTAAATTGGTGTCTTGTGGTTTGATTTGCATTTCCCTGATGACGGATGATGTCGGCCATCTTTTCATGTGCTTCAGGAGGAACTTTCTGTTATTTCTCTGCTTAAAACCTTTTCTAAAGCTTTCTCATTGTCCTTAGAATAAATCCCAAACTTCGTTAGTAGCTCACAGGGCTGGTCAAGAGCTAGTCTCTGGTAGTATTTCTGGCCTGCTTGCCCCATTCTCTCCTGCCTCTGTTCACTACTTCCCTGGGCTCATCTTGATCTCACCAGCACTCTGTGCTGTCCTGTGCTCGGTGCTGTTCCTCCCTGCAGTGACACACCCCTGGTCCTGTCCCCCTCCTGCTTTGCTTTCTTTTCCCTCATGCTCAAGGCTTAGAGACCCCTCCACAAGGCTACCCCCGACTTCCAGAGCCAGGTTCTGGGCCCCTTCTTTGTGTCCCACGGTACTGCCCCATAGGAGTCTTGGCTCACTCAAGGGTTAGGTTATAAAATCAAAATTGAGGTAAAAATTGAGTGTAAGCACAATTCCTCTTGAAGCCCTGAGGAAGGTGCTGTGTTGAAGACCAGCATCGTGAGGTCCATCATGCGTGCAGTTGATTCTTGCCCATGTGGGAACAGATCGCCCATGTGAGCACCAGTTGAAGTGGCTGGTCTGCAGTTATTAGGGCCGTGTTGTATAAAAACACTTATTTTAGGTGCCAGAGTCCCACTCAGGTGAGAAGAGGCACTTGAGAACTGAGACAGGCCACAGGAGCAGCAGAGGTGCGAGCTTGCCTCTGGCCCTCCTGCCCGTCTGCTCAGAGAGTGGAGGGGCAGGTGGAATAGGCCAAATGACTTAAAATTATTTTCCTTTTTCCTTGTCATTTTTTTCCCTGACAGATACCATAATGTTTGTCTAAGTGAAGTGTATGTATGATACCAAATCTCTGTACTCTCCCAAGCCTGCACCCCTTTACACGGGTTCGTAATTTCCTGTTCCTACTTTGTCTTTTTGCTAGACTGTAAGCTCCATGAGAGCAGGGACCATGTCTGGCTTGTTCCGGGGGTTTCCCCAGCTCCGGCACCATGCCTGGCACCTGACAGGTCCCCCATGGACATGTGATAGACGTGTACACCCCCCGCTGCAGGAGCAGCTCCAGCTGCTGAGGCCCTGGGTCCTTTTACAGGCTAGTCCTTGTTTTTCTGCCTTGTAAACACCTCGCTTTGTTTTTCTGTTTTATTTTCCCTGCTAGCCTGTGAGCTCCTGGTGAGCAGGTGTCTTCATGTTGCTTCTTCTATCCTCCCACCACGCCTGTCTAGAGAAAGGGGTGCTTCAAGAGTGTTTGATAAATGAATGGATCGTGGTAACCCAGCCCAGCTCTGGCACCTGGCTACAGGTCAGGCTACTTCTAGTCAAGACCACCAGATTCAAAAGAGGAAGGTTACTCAGAAGTGTGTACACTGTACTTGCATAAGAAAAACAATCTCATTAATTAGACCTCGATAAAATTCACATTTTGGTGATCTGATCATATCTGAGCTGAAGCTTACGCAGCTCTATAAAGAATCTGCTAGAGAATTATGTAGATACGAAGGCACTCATTTGCCCCAGGAGAGCAGGAAAGGAAGTGGGCAGGTGGACAGGAGGCCCCAAAGAGGGACCGCTGGGCCAGCCTTAGCCTCTGGTCCTGCGGTGAGGAAAGGACGGCAGTCCAAAGAAGGCGAAAAGAAACAGGACTCTTTTCCGCAGCAGCACTTCAGCCTAAAGCAGCATTCCAGCTCTCTCACGGAGCGGTCTTCAGATTATGGCAAAATGCGGACAGGCAGTGTGGGTGAAAGTGAGCAACAGCTTGTGGCTTCACAGATTCATTAATTGCTGCACACATAAGTTTCATGTATAATTATTTGCTTTTAAACCTTATATAACAAGAAGTAAATTAGAAGTTAAACCATTATTTTCTTTTAAGAACTAAAAAGGACAGGATGTTTTTGTGATATTGAGAACAGCCCACTCCAAGGCAGGTTATTGTGTAATCTCACCACCAGTAACCTAGGACTTTTCTTACATGTTTATGAAATAAATCTTAGAAGAAAAAATACTAGCATTTTTTAAAAATGAAATTCATGGACATTTCATGGGCCTTTGATGTTTCCGGGAGCAATTAGGGAAATGCCAGCTCAAAAGCCTGTTTCAAGTAGTTGTGAGGCATTGAAGTGGGATTTTGCTGTGGTATAAATCAAACTCTAGTGTACAGGTAGTGTTTAATCTACCAGCCAGTACCCTGCCCTGGGATTCTTTGGTGTTTTTATTTGAGCAGTTCTGGAGGCCCTCTCTGGATCGCCAGGTTCTTCAGTAGTGACCTCAGACTGTCACCCTTGCCCCCAGACCAGTGTAGGTTAGTGAGGGCAAGAGACCACACAGTTGGCAGAGAGAAGACATGGCCTTCCCGTCCCTTCCTGGGGTTGCTGTGTGTTTAATCCTGTGACGCGTCCCTTCTTGTCATTGGTAAGGGTTCCTCAGGGGGCCTGTGAGCAGGGTGCAGCACTTTTAGCTCAAGTAGAGTGTATTTTGAGAAGAGTCAAATAGAATGGAGGCTGCGGCTAGGGCTGGAGCCCTGGGAACTCACTTTGTCTCACATACAAACGGGAACAGATTAAGCAAGTCCCTTCACTTCTCTGGACTCAGTTTTCCCGTCTGTAACATGAAGGGCTAGACTGAGATGATCTCCAGTTTTCTTTTAGTGTTAATGTGAGTTCTAGCCTCTTTGCTGTACTTTCCCAGGGAGCATCAGGAAGGAGGTGACGGCAAGCAAGAGGTCTAAGCCCTTGGACCCTTGGTTCCATGACTCAAGTACAACCCCTGCCCCCCTCTCCCAACCCCTGTTATGAAAGGACAAGAGGGCCCTCTTTCTGGCTCCCTCCCTATTAAGCCCCCTTCTCCAACACACACACGCACACACACACACACACCATTTAGTGTTTTATTTGGGAGATCTTTTAGGAGGTAGCCCAGTT